AAACAGCTTCGATTCAGCTGTAGGCTACATGTTGCCGACCAGTTTGGCTATTTGAACCGGAGCAAGACTTTCAGAGTGGTGAATTATTAATCTGTAACAAAAGTATCTTTCATCCATAAAGTTTTAACTGAGCTATGTCTCTACATCACAGTAACAACTCCATGTCCATTGACTGCCTGGAGGGTAGCTAGTGTTTGGAAGGGGAGAGGAGAGGCGTGCTGCAGCTCAGTGTTTTTCCACGGGTGTTTTTGAGGGCGTGTCGGAGTAGTCGCTCAGCGAGCATTATGACACGTATTTTCATTGTGACGTCACAAGAAAGGGAAGTAAAGCCTGGTCTACAAACGAGCCGTTTTCAGGCAGTTCAGAGCAGTGTTTTCTGTGGGAGATGGGAACTCCCTTTGGGGTGGACTAGGGGGCTTTTTCACTTTGCAAACCTATTATGTGCACAAAAAAGATATATAACTCAATAAAGGAGAGGGGGAAAAGCCAAAAACCATAATACCACCTCTTTAAAGATGTTCTTACAGAAGATCCTGGCTGCCAGAACATCCACAAAATTACAGCTGGAGGTTATTGAAGCATGCGTGGCCAGTACATGCAGAACCATTGTGACGCTAACTGCACATGAAAGCCTATGTATGTAATGAATTGTTTGTTGATTCCATGACCGGCATCTGCACCAGTTAAAAGGGAGCTCAGGAGAGTGACATCACTTGAGTGAGGTGATACATTGCACGAGAGGTAACCACCTGCGATGGCCGGGAATTGAACCCGGGTCAACTACTTGGAAGGCAGCTATGCTCACCACTATACCACCATCGCTGCAGACAAGCAATCCCTTCGAGCTGTGTTTTTTTTTTTCTGTTACAGCCTGGAGTCCTGCACAGTAATGGTCAGCAGTAAAACACAATTCCGATGCACTGGATTGAACCGGGACCTCATACATGCAAACTCATTGTATTACTAACTGTCCATGAAATTGTCTGTATGTAACAAATTGATTAGCCATTTCTTCACTCTGTTTTTTGCTTTGTGTGATACTTGCGTAATACTACAGTCCTGTCTCTTTAAGGCCCCCTCCCTAACCCACCCCCTTAATCTGATTGGCCATGTTACCGGAAACCTGCGGAGGGGATTGTTAGCCATAGACAAAGCCAAGCTTAACCGGGTCCGTCACGTTATGCACACTGGCCCAAAAAGATGGACATTGTGAAAGAAACGGCTGTGAAACGGTGGGTAATTTGTTTTGAAAGCCGTGTTACTGTCTTTACCTGCCAGAGAATTCGACAGCTCTCATTTGACAACAGCTTTGCGTCACGTCCTGCCACCCTACTCTGCGGCTGATTGGCCAACCTTAACCATAACTAACCCTAACCTGGTCCATCACGTCATGCACACTGGCCAAAAAAAACCTACACTGAAAGAAACGGCTGTGAAACTGTGGATAATTTGTTTTTCAGTCACAACCTACGCGACATGACTCGTTTCACTGTTAGGATTAGATCCATTTGTTACGATAACATTTGAAATGTCTAGAAGAGCTACATGATGAAATCCTTTTAACTATATCAGTGCTTGATGACACATGCCACAATCAGTGGTTTGATGAGTGCTTACCTTTTTAAAGAGGTGGTATTATGCTCGTTTTCAGGTTCAAAATCTTATTTCGAGGTTGTACCAGAACAGGTTTACATGGTTTAATTTTCAAACAAACATATTTTTTTTCATACTGCACATTGCTGCAGCTCCTCTTTTCACCCTATGTGTTGAAGGCTTCGTTTTAGCTATGGAGTGATAGACCTTGTCTCTAAAGATCTTTGTTGGGAGTTGCACATGCGCAGTTCCTAGTTAAGGACTACTAGCCAATCAGAAGCAGAGAAGGGCAGGTCAGCGAAAGGCCGGTAAAACAGCTTCATTTCAGCTGTAGGCTACATGTTGCCGACCAGTTTGGCAATTTGGACCGGAGCAAGACTTTCAGAGTGGTGAATTATTAATCTGTAACAAAAGTATCTTTCATCTATAAAGTTTTAACTGAGCTATGTCTCTACATCACAGTAACAACTCCATGTCCATTGACTGCCTGGAGGGTAGCTAGTGTTTGGAAGGGGAGAGGAGAGGCGTGCTGCAGCTCAGTGTTTTTCCACGGGTGTTTTTGAGGGCGTGTCGGAGTAGTCGCTCAGCGAGCATTATGACACGTATTTTCATTGTGACGTCACAAGAAAGGGAAGTAAAGCCTGGTCTACAAACGAGCCGTTTTCAGGCAGTTCAGAGCAGTGTTTTCTGTGGGAGATGGGAACTCCCTTTGGGGTGGACTAGGGGGCTTTTTCACTTTGCAAACCTATTATGTGCACAAAAAAGATATATAACTCAATAAAGGAAAAGCCAAAAACCACAATACCACCTCTTTAAAGATGTTCTTACAGAAGATCCTGGCTGCCAGAACATCCACAAAATTACAGCTGGAGGTTATTGAAGCATGCGTGGCCAGTACATGCAGAACCATTGTGACGCTAACTGCACATGAAAGCCTATGTATGTAATGAATTGTTTGTTGATTCCATGACCGGCATCTGCACCAGTTAAAAGGGAGCTCAGGAGAGTGACATCACTTGAGTGAGGTGATACATTGCACGAGGGGTAACCACCTGCGATGGCCGGGAATCGAACCCGGGTCAACTGCTTGGAAGGCAGCTATGCTCACCACTATACCACCATCGCTGCAGGCAAGCAATCCCTACGAGCTGTGTTTTTTTTTTTCTGTTACAGCCTGGAGTCCTGCACAGTAATGGTCAGCAGTAAAACACAATTCCGATGCACTGGATTGAACCGGGACCTCATACATGCAAACTCATTGTATTACTAACTGTCCATGAAATTGTCTGTATGTAACAAATTGATTAGCCATTTCTTCACTCTGTTTTTTTGCTTTGTGTGATACTTGCGTAATACTACAGTCCTGTCTCTTTAAGGCCCCCTCCCTAACCCACCCCCTTAATCTGATTGGCCATGTTACCGGAAACCTGCGGAGGGGATTGTTAGCCATAGACAAAGCCAAGCTTAACCGGGTCCGTCACGTTATGCACACTGGCCCAAAAAGATGGACATTGTGAAAGAAACGGCTGTGAAACGGTGGGTAATTTGTTTTGAAAGCCGTGTTATTGTCTTTACCTGCCAGAGAATTCGACAGCTCTCATTTGACAACAGCTTTGCGTCACGTCCTGCCACCCTACTCTGCGGCTGATTGGCCAACCTTAACCATAACTAACCCTAACCTGGTCCATCACGTCATGCACACTGGCCAAAAAAAACCTACACTGAAAGAAACGGCTGTGAAACTGTGGATAATTTGTTTTTCAGTCACAACCTACGCGACATGACTCGTTTCACTGTTAGGATTAGATCCATTTGTTACGATAACATTTGAAATGTCTAGAAGAGCTACATGATGAAATCCTTTTAACTATATCAGTGCTTGATGACACATGCCACAATCAGTGGTTTGATGAGTGCTTACCTTTTTAAAGAGGTGGTATTATGCTCGTTTTCAGGTTCAAAATCTTATTTCGAGGTTGTACCAGAACAGGTTTACATGGTTTAATTTTCAAACAAACATATTTTTTGTCATACTGCACATTTGCAGCTCCTCTTTTCACCCTATGTGTTGAAGGCTTCGTTTTAGCTATGGAGTGATAGACCTTGTCTCTAAAGATCTTTGTTGGGAGTTGCACATGCGCAGTTCCTAGTTAAGGACTACTAGCCAATCAGAAGCAGAGAAGGGCAGGTCAGCGAAAGGCCGGTAAAACAGCTTCATTTCAGCTGTAGGCTACATGTTGCCGACCAGTTTGGCAATTTGGACCGGAGCAAGACTTTCAGAGTGGTGAATTATTAATCTGTAACAAAAGTATCTTTCATCTATAAAGTTTTAACTGAGCTATGTCTCTACATCACAGTAACAACTCCATGTCCATTGACTGCCTGGAGGGTAGCTAGTAGCTCAGTGTTTTTCCACGGGTGTTTTTGAGGGCGTATCGGAGTAGTCGCTCAGCGAGCATTATGACACGTATTTTCATTGTGACGTCACAAGAAATGGAAGTAAAGCCTGGTCTACAAACGAGCCGTTTTCAGGCAGTTCAGAGCAGTGTTTTCTGTGGGAGATGGGAACTCCCTTTGGGGTGGACTAGGGGGCTTTTTCACTTTGCAAACCTATTATGTGCACAAAAAAGATATATAACTCAATAAAGGAGAGGGGGAAAAGCCAAAAACCATAATACCACCTCTTTAAAGATGTTCTTACAGAAGATCCTGGCTGCCAGAACATCCACAAAATTACAGCTGGAGGTTATTGAAGCATGCGTGGCCAGTACATGCAGAACCATTGTGACGCTAACTGCACATGAAAGCCTATGTATGTAATGAATTGTTTGTTGATTCCATGACCGGCATCTGCACCAGTTAAAAGGGAGCTCAGGAGAGTGACATCACTTGAGTGAGGTGATACATATACTAATACTAATACTACATGTTATGGGTTGTATTGGCCATTTAAAGGTATTTCAACAGGTAAATAAACTGGATTGGTTGGTACACAGCAAGTTAAATAATGTAGAGTCAGAAGGGGCAGCTGTGGCTCTACTTGGTTCAGAATGGACTTTCAAGTTCCAATCTTGTCATCCAATCCTGGTATTTGACGGTCCAATGTCGGAGGCCAATCACGCAATGGGATGACACTGGAATCTGCCCTTCTTCCCAGTCCCTCCGCCAGTGACTGATATTGGACGTCGCCGGCGAAACGGCTTCTAAGAACTCTGTCAGAAGTAAGTAATAAATGTCTTTATTTTATAGACATACATGCTTAGTTATATTTCCATCTTTTGTTGTCGAGTGTCACATTGTGTTATAGTTACGGTACGACGTTAGCTAACGTTAACTGCTAGCAGTCGCTAACGCAAATCACTACCTTACCTAACTCTTATTTGTTATTGTCTTTTAAACAGGACGAGTCTGGAGGAGTTCCTTCAGCAGCTGCTGCGGTTGCAGCTTCAGTCTGGTTGCCAGGAGAACTGAGCAAGACCATCCCTGTGCAGGACCACAGGTGGATTGCCAGCACCCTCCTTCACTCCGGTAAACTGCAGCCAGATGTCAAGCTGTGGTATGAGCCCCCTGTCCTTCTTCACCCATCGGCTGATGGTGTGGATGCCATACTATCTGTGGAAGGTAAAGGTGTCCTGCCCGGCTTGTGGGAAGCAGCTAACGAGCTATGGTGTCCACAAGAGGGCTCGAAAGGTCCTAGACATCGACGGGTATTACCTTATGGTGACAGAGACACTCAGGTGCACCGTGTGTTCCCTGAACTATCTGTCGACCAGTCAGACTGTCCGGGACCAGCTGGACCTGCCCCACCAGAAGCTGTTTGAGACCAGCAAGTGAGTAAAACAGTTTTGAAAAGACTTAATCCACTTAAATTATCCTCCAATAAACATGTAACTAATCACTGTATTGTTATATGACGTGTATACACACCCAGGATTAAATTAAATGTACTTTTCAGGTATGCTTGTGACATACGTGTCATTCGGCTGCTTCGGGACCGGACTCTCGGCAACAGTCCAGCACGACTGCCGAAGCAGCTTCGGGAGAACCACGGTGAGAAGTGGCTGAACCGGTTGGCACACTATGTGGGGGAGTGTGCTAACTTTATGGGTCGGCCCAGCCTCTTCCCAGTGATCTGCCAGGAGCCCCCGGAGCCCATCCACGTCCCCACCAGTCGCTGGCTGCTGACCGTCTACAGCAGGGACATCCTCTCCCGTCTGGACCACATTAAGGCCAGCATCACCTGTCTGCATGCATCTTTGAGTGGGATGCAGGTGACCTCACTCTGTTGCAGCAGGCTAAGAGAGAGCAGCTCAGACAGGAGGGAGTGCCAGCGCTTACTGATCTCCTGGTGGACAGGAGAATCACTAAGAAGTAGCTGAGCCAGTACTGCAGAAGGAGGATGCGCGGGGAGGAGGGGACCATCAGCCTCATCGAGCAGCTGCTGCAAACACTGGGGGGGCAAAAAGGGAGAGACCTCATGGAGGTGCCGCTGCTGGAACAGGTGCACATGGAGCACATCTGGCGGGTGCAGAAACGGCACGTCAAGTGCATCCAGGACGTGCCAGGTGTGCAGCTGTATACAGTGACAGGCACTACCAGCTCTTCCCTGCTACACCTTCAGGTCCTCAGCTGCTTCCCCAGCAGCAGCTCCTCCCTGCTACACCATCAGGTCCTCAGCTGCGTCCACAGCAGCAGCTCCTCCCTTCTACACCATCAGGTCCTCAGCTGCGTCCCCAGCAGCAGCTCTTTCCTGCTACACCTTCAGGTCCTCAGCTGCGTCCCCAGCAGCAGCTCCTTCCTGCTACACCATCAGGTCCTCAGCTGCGTCCCCAGCAGCAGCTCCCTGCTACACCATCAGGTCCTCAGCTGCGTCCACAGCAGCAGCTCCTCCCTGCTACACCATCAGGTCCTCAGCTGCGTCCCCAGCAGCAGCTCCTCCCTGCTACACCATCAGGTCCTCAGCTGCGTCCTCAGCGGCAGCTCTTCCCTGCTCCACCCAGCCCTCAGTTCCTGATGCTGGCTCCACTAACCCCAGGTGCTGCTCCACAGGCCCTGGGGTTCAGCCTTTCCTCTGCCCCTCCTGCTCCAGTCCCCCGAAAACTGACCCGAAAGGTGCTGCACAACACGTGCAAAAAATGCGGACAGTTCAGGACGGCGGAGACTGGACACAGCCAATACAAGGTTGTCGTTTACTGCCCCTCTGTAGAGGCTGTACCAAAGGAGCAGTGGTTGGAGGACATGAAAAGGAATAAATAAATAAATGTTTTTACTGGATGCTTTTTTTTATGTAAATAGTTTTATTTAATGTTATTATGTTATTTAAATGTTTTTATTCGGTTATAATGTAAAATTTTCTATGAAAGGGATTGTTTACCCCACTATCAGAGGCATGTGCCCTGGACACTTTTTTATGTTTATAGTTTTATATTATATTTAATGTTAATCTTAAATAAGTAATTATGTTTAAACTATACTATTTTAAAATATAGGTATGTGTTATTGTTTCATTATCTTATACTGTGGAGTGTTTCTGACTATTTGTCCTCAGTTCTAAACTGATTTATAATAAAAGTTTGTTCATTCATATATTTTGAGTGCAAATCTTGTTTTCAGGTAACTAGTAACTGTCAAGTAATACTGTCAAGTAATTGGAGTGAGTGGAGTTAAAAGTACAGGCACTTTCACAGTCCAAGGTGACTTCTTCAAAGGATTTGTTCTGTTTAGTGAAGTCTTCTCTAGGACATTATGCTAATTATTGATGTGTTAGCATATTGAGCTAACACTGGGGCTTGGTTCAGCCTCAGACACCAGACAAATTAAACCAAGACAGCATAAAAGAAACACATTTTTCTTCTAGGGAACACAAAGCAACAAACATCACAGTGTAAAATATTTAATCAAAGAAACTTGAAAGATACAAAGAGTCTATGTATGGATAGTAGACTAATATAATACATGAGGTAGACCAAGAAAGTATTTTTATACTAAATCAAGTTTACATGGGCAACCAAGAGGTGGGATTCGAACAGGGTCTCTTTGTGGATGTGTCTTTCTCCTCCTGAAATGCACACAAAATTACATTTTTGGTCTTAAAATACAAAAAGACTTTGGAGTACCACATGAGTGCTACTGGGGGCTACAGAATTGTGTTGTCTTCTTTTCTTTCCTTTTTTCTCTCTTTTTTCTTCTCTTTTCTTTCCCCCATCTTTCTTCTCCTTCTTCCCCCTCCTCTTTCACCTCCCCCAAGCCAAACAGACTATTCTTCCCCAGCTTCCCAGCTTCTTGGTTCAGAATGGGCTGTCAAGCTCCAATCTTGTCATCTGGTCAGGAGATAGAGCGGGTTAGCTGTTAATCGGAAGGTTAGTGGTTCAATCCTGGCACCCCCAGGCTGCATGTTGAAATGTCCTTGGGCAAGATACTGAACCCTGAATTGTAATGGTCAAAAAGACTAGAAATGTGCTATACACTTGAGCTACACAACAGTTTTGATGTGTTGTGTTAAAGGTTTAAATACTGCAAATAAAATGTCTTTTATTTTTTAAATCTCAGTTGTGCGATGAGGTCGATGCAATGCAACCCTCTCCAGTCAACATATGCAGCCGCTTCAGTGAGAACTTCACATCTGTTCTCCCAAACATGCTTAAACTTGGATTTGCCACTGTAAAAACTCAAAACTGCAAAAAGGCAAGAGAGGATGACTTGGTGAGGAGGATATTACAGGTACTGATTTCACACAGAAATAGTCAGTTTTGCTATATCATTGTGTCATTTGTGTGCAGTCCTTTCTAAAGAGACTGGGTAACTATTGTAAAACTGGTATTGCACTGGCATGTTGAAAACTTGTTTGCATGGCATTCAATTAGTTTTTGAGATGTTAACTTTTTAATTTTAAGTTTCAGTTAAATTTTACTATTTCATCCACATTCTTCCACTGTCTGGATTTTGTGTTAACAAGTGATGGCTTGTGTAAACTTAGTCTTCAAATAAGGCACCATTTTCTCACATATTTCTCATATATTCTCACATTTTCGCTCAATATGATCCATACCATTGATATGCATCTGTTTTGCATTAATTAATGACTCTTCCCAGGACAAGCTGAGGCACAATGTGCTGGTAGTCTTCTCCATCCCTGTCTTGATAGGTAACAGAAAAAGCATGGTGAATGTGTTAAGAAACAGGAAGCACTCAACATATCCTGCAAATTTAGCATTAATTCCTCATCAGCCACAGCCTGTTGAAAAAAGTGGGCCAGATAACGTTTTTAACACACTAAATTTAGCTTTGTTAAACGTTAGGTCTTTGGCGGGGAAAACATTATTAAACAATGATTTTATAATCACTCACAATCTTAATTTCAGCACTGACACAGCTCTTGTTAAGGTCTTCAATGACATCCATTTAAACACTGATAGTGGCAGAATTTCAGTCTTAGTATTATTGGATCTCCGTGCTGCATTTGACACGGTCAACCACAACATATTACTAGACAGACTTGAAAACTGGGTTGGACTTTCTGGCACAGTACTAAACTGGTTTGAATCCCACTTAAAGGACAGGGACTACTTTGTGTCTATAGGTAATCACACATCTGAGCTGACAAAAATGACATGTGGAGTTCCCCAAGGCTCCATTCTGGGGCCTCTTTTGTTTAACATTTACATGCTTCCACTGGCTCAGATTATGAAAAACAACTAAATATGTTACCATAATTATGCAGATGACACACAGATTTACATAACCATATCACCAGGGGACTATTATCCCATACAAGCGCTGAGTAACTGTATTGAACAGGTCAACGGTTGGCAGAAAGTTATTGTTTTTGGAGCCAAGGAATAACAATTGAAAGTCAGTGCTCAGCTTCAATCTGTAATGTTAAGAACCACAAATCAAGCCAGAAATCTTGGTGTAGTCATGGACTCAGACCTGAATTTTAGGAGCCACATTAAGACAATTACAAAGTCAGCCTACTATCACCTGAAGAATATATCAAGGATTAAAGGACTTATGTCTCAGCAAGACCTGGAAAAACGTATCCATGCATTTATCTTCACTCGACTCGACTACTGTAACAGTGTCTTTACAGGGCTCCCTAAGAAATCCATCACACAGCTGCAGCTGATTCAGAACGCTGCTGCTCGAGTCCTCACTAAGACTAAAAAAGTGGATCACATCACTCCAATTCTGAGGTCTTTACATTGGCTTACTGTATGTCAAAGAATTGATTTCAAAATTCTGCTGTTAGTTTATAAAGCATTAAATTGTTTAGGGCCAAAATACATTTCTGATCTTCTGCTTCATTATGAACCATCCAGACCTCTCAGGTCGTCTGGGGCAGGTCTGCTTTCTGTCCCCAGAGTCAAAACTAAACAAGGAGAAGCAGCGTTCAGTTATTATGCTCCATATATCTGGAACAAACTCCCAGAGAAGCCTGTGAAGAGCCTTGGGAAAACCTTTGACTGCTCTCTAAAGGATGCCGTTTCTATCAGGGCAACAAATGAACAACTGGAGAGCTGGCTTACTACAGTTGACAAGTGAGGCCTACCGGGTAAATTTAAAGCTTGGCTATACCAACATGGAATCATACATAGGATATTGTGGCCATTATTGGTGTACGAATTTCCAGTTTCCACCGTGGAAGGATTTGAGAGGAGGGTGAGCAATTACCTTCAACGGTGGCTGGGCTTGCCAAGAAGTCTGAGCAGCATCGCCCTTTACAGCAAAAAGAACAAGCTAACGCTACCAATCAACAGCCTTAACGAGGAGTTCATGGTTACCAGATCAAGGGAGGTGCTTCAGTACAGGGATTCCAAGGACCAAAGAGTATATCAAGCTGGAATTGAGGTTAGGACTGGCAGAAAATGGAGGGCACATGAGGTGGTGGGCCAGGCAGAATCACGGCTGCGTCATAAGGAACTGGTGGGTCCAGTGGCTATTGGCCATACAGGAATGGGCAGTATTCCAACAACCCATTACACCAAACTGAAGGGTAAGGAAAGGCGGGACCTGGTCCAAAAAGAAGTGAGGGCTGGGATCGAGGAGCAGCGTGCAAGCCAGATGGTGGGAATGAAGCAACAGGGCGCATGGACCAGATGGGAAGATGCTATGGGGAGGAAGATTTCATGGGCAGAGCTGTGGAGGGCTGAGCCCTATCGCATCAAATGTATCATTCAATCTGTCTATGACACCATACCCAGTCCATCCAGTCTCTTTTGTTGGGGCAAGGTTGAGACGCCGGCATGTACCCTGTGCCAGGGAAGAGGATCGCTGGAACACATCCCCAGCAGCTATCCTTGGGGAAGGCCGCTACCGTTGGCACCATGACCAAGTGCTGAAGGTGGTTGCTGAGTCCATCACTAATGCCATCAAGCAGAGCATGCGTTTACAACCACCAAGGCGGAAAATCTCATTCTTAAGAGCAGGGAACCACCACCTTCCCGACCAATAGTTCAGACAGGCCTGCTGGGAACAGCGAATGACTGGCAGCTAAGGGTGGACCCGGGAAAGCAACTCAAGTTCCCTCGAGACATCATGGAGACCAGCCTTAGACCCGACATGGGGTTCTGTTCTCAGTAACATCGAAGCAAGTTATC